CCCGGGGGGGAGGGAAACTCCCCTATAAGAAGGAGGGGAATGCTCGTCGGAAATTTTAAAAAGGACCCCTAAGAGGTACCAAGATCTTGATTTTGCGGGCGTGGCTTGAAATGCTTTCACCCCTAAGAGGTATCACTTCTAAAGAAACACATTAACTAACACTTTCATAATTTTTAATAGCGTTAAAGACGATTGCTTCGAATACCTTCTACTCGTAAAGTTGGTTATCAAATATCTCCTGTCGTATTTTTTTCTGCTCAATATCCTTAAAGGGTCCACGAAAGCTGCCACTGTGGACCTTTTGAGGCTGAACACCCCAAGGGGTACCAAAACTGCCCTTTTGATCCCTAAATCAGTGGTAAGACGATCACCCCTGTCCTTTTTACATGGGAGTCTTGCCCTGGACTTTTAGCCTACTTAATGGTAAAAGGACTTCCAATGTTTCTTTTAACCTCGCCTCGGCTTTTCTCTGCTAGGATTGCTATTTTGCAAAAGTTCACTGAGTTTCACAAGACTAAGGCTTTAAACGATGGAGTAGGCTACATCAAGGTGAAGTATAGTACATGTCCATTGTTTTCATAATGCGCGTTTTCGAATCGTGTCCATATTGTTTTCTCACCTGCGTTGCGTATCAGTCTCAATTTCTAGGGGCGTAGATCAATGTTGAGCAAATCGTAATAAACCAAGGCCTGCATAACGGTTTTCTTCATTCATACCTGATTTCAAAAAACCTATTTTTTCCACATCATGCAGGATCCCAACAGTATTATATTGACAGCAGATCTTCACATCAAGTTTCCAGCTAATGTATTTGATATCGTACGCAAGGTAAATGCAAGCACTTGTTATATGACACCAGCTTCATGGGATGATACCAAGCATAGGAACAGTTTCACCGCTATATAACGGAATAGCTGAGGAGGATGCGGGGTCCGAGGGTATGGTTTCTGTACTCTAGTCAAAATTTAAGACTTATTTTCAAAAAAGCACTTTTTATATCTTTGAAGCAGCGTGCCGCACAGCCCTTCCAACATTTTTCTGGGTGTATCCTCTACGTTAATCACTCCCCCCGCAATGAAAAATTGTTCAGTAATGTGACATATCATTAAGCTTGTGTCAACCATTTCGTAGAAGTCAAAGTTAAAGAAATTTCAACGAAGATTTACCAATTAACGTACGCGGTTGAATCGGGCTCGTAAAACATTAACACGCTAACATTTGTCGTTCTTTCCTGCACAGCATGCAATTCAAGGCCGCAGTTTCTACTCACCCGCTGTTCTAAAGTTGAAATGCGGTTACTCCATATCACATCAGCAAGGTACAATGCATTATCTCCGTTGCCTGAATAAAGATTTAAGCGACTTGTTTAAGAGAACGTTTTCGCGCGCTTTTCTTTGGCTGTAAATGCTTTTGCTTCTATGAACGTTGAATGAGACCTGTGTAGATGTATGTCTTCATCCCTTGTGGTATTTATGTACTTCAGCCTATTGGGAGATGATGGGTTATGGTTTGTTCGGAGGATACAAGTCTGACTGGGACAGCTTTGGAGGATTGGACGAAGAGAAATTCACCACACGATGGGGCGGCGAGGACTGGGATCTAATGGATAGGTAAGAAAAACCAGATGACCTGCACCTCTTTAAAACTTCTATTTTGATTCGCTCTTGTTAATCTGCCCCTCTTTTGTTTTTAGGGCTAGGGGCATTGTTTGTGATGTATACCTATTGTTTTGTTTGGTCAATCATGAAGACCCTCGTAAACGGTGCGTGGTCGCCCAGAAAAACCATCATCCATTCTCTTCCCCAGTGCTACGTTATCAAAAGAAACGGAGACTCTTTGAACGAGATTGAAAATCGCCCAGACGTGCGCGAGTTTCCATTTCCCAGTGTCTCTGAATAGTACAGTTTAAGTAAGTTCCAGGAGGCGACTGAGTTTCCTTTCCTAACTTGCTGCTATAAGCACATGAAGTTTGAATTGTTTTATGTAAATTTCAGGGCCCTCGGTGCCAATTTAGAGGTGGAGAGACTACGACTTCCAAAGCTTTACCATTACTATCACGAGAGAAAGAGCGACTGGTACGAAAACGCGCGACTGTAATTAGGACAACCGTGTGAAACATATTGATTAGAAGAGACTGGACACCTGGAGTCCGACTCAAGTACGCAGGAAAACGCGGAATGCAGAATAAACCGGTCATTTAGGCCTTGATCACCCCTCCCCCACATGAGTTCTGAGATGAAGACATGGCTGACACCGCAATAGGTTACACAAGCTGAGCAGCGGCCAGAATCTTTTCTCGTGCTTCACAACAAAAGAAGAAATGGACTGAAACGACACCCAGCCATACGTGAGCCTTAACAGGCTACACGAGAGACGCTGAAATCACTGAGGAAAATATGACAGCTTCAGTGTAGCAGAATCGACTTATGATGCTACATAATTTAGATTTTTTGGGGAAAGTCATGTATAATAAAAAAATTATATACAATCCAAGGTCCTTAGAGTTTTCTTGTGTTTAATTGTTGTTAAGAGATTGATATTCGATCTGCAATCGACCAAACGGCCACTGGGTAGAAGCCAAATCGGAGTCTTAAGAATTAGTGCATTGTCCATGCGCGTTTATCCCCAATGTATTCTCCTCTTTAGTTATAAAAAAAGAATAAATTAGGTATCAAAACGTATGTACACTGAAAGAATCATGTGTAGAAACTTCAATTACCAGCAAGCGTATTTTAGACACTCGAGGAATCGTTGTTTCAAAAAACGTTAAGGTTGAGGCCTCATCACTTAGCCTTTTAATTTTTACAGGCAAAAGCTGTGCAACGTATCTTTCTTTGATTTGTGGATTCCGTGTTTTAGGGTTGCCCATTCTACCCTGAAACTCATAAGGTCGACCTGTGGCAACTCTACCTGTTGTCTGAAACACACGTCTAGGGCTATTGATTTCGGTGACGGACCACGTAACTCGAAACTATTGACCGCGGCGAAATGAACTAGGCAACGTAGATATCATGTCTGTTTGAAAATGCATTATGAAAAATTGTCTTAAAAAAAAGGCACATAGGTCTCAGGAACGCAGTGCATAGAAAACACTAAACAACTAACAGTCTAAAGTTTTAAGTGTTTTAATTCTAGTATATCATAGTAAATCATAAGTTCTTTTGACTCAGGGCCTCTTCATTTGAGCCCGGTCAACCGGGTTGGCTCGGTTTCCGAGATCTCGCCTCGCCACCCTTTCTTTCGTAAAAATTTCGATGTGTTCAACTGAGAAGCCGGGCTGGGGCCTGTTTCTCGAAAGCTCCCGTAAATACCGGGCCCGATAACTTACCGGGCCCGAAATAGCGTTTCTCGAAGCACCCGTAAATTTACCCGGTACCTACCGGGTCCGATAAAATAGCGGGTTGTTACCAATCTCTAGCGCTCGTTCGCTAGAGAAAGAGAAACACTTGGGACTATACGTACACATTCGATTCTGATCGATTCTGTTGTCTTTGCGACTGTTTTGCTTTTTGAAGAACACTGCGAAGTTTAACTTCGAAGTTATCGTTGTGTCAAAGGAAGGTAACTGAGAGAGATCGTCATTTTGCATGGTCATATTATTTGAAAGTGATGATCAAATGCCTTTTGTAGCTCGATTCGAAGACTTCGATCGACAATCTCGCTCTTTCTAGGAGTGTTGTCTTTTTCCGTGATTCATTCTAATTCAAAATGTTCCGCTGAGCAATCAAACAAGA